AATAGCAAGTAGGATGAGGACAAATTGATATGTAGATGCATTTGCTTGCAAATTACTATTTACTAATTTAGTCATAACTAACAGTTCCATAAAGGACAAATGCATGTATACTCAGTAATGCGTAGTTGAGCGTGTACAGATTATCTACCGATTGAAAATATTCTTTGAATTTCCTCATATAATATACTTGTATCACTTATATCTTACAAAACATTACTTTGATAATTTTGCAAACACACAAAAAAAATAGAAAATAGAATGTGTACAAGTTGAAGGTTTCATATGTCATGGAGACAGTTGTAATAAAATATGGAAAGTAATATGATACTGTGTATCATACAACACATCAACACTATCCATTAATTTCTTACCTTTCACAAAGTTGGTTTTGAATGAAAATTATTAAATTTTTGTCCTACTTATAACACAATTTTATCATCTTAACACTTGATTAATACTGGTGCCTAACTATACTCAGTGTTACAACTTGTGACCTCAAGGTCAATATAAAACATCAAATTTTTCAGAATAGTAAGTTTTAATGTATGTAGAAGATACATAGAATAAAGATAATAAATAATATAAAAATATTTTTTATGTTATATTAACATTCTAAATCTGTTGTCATATTGGCTGGAATTTTTCATTATAGAAAAGTGAAAACACTAGTAACCATTTCTCATAAATGGTGAATCTCAGTATGTTTTTGTTCCCAATTTGCTAAGTGGTATACAATTCATAGAGCTCATTAAACACAAAAAAACAGATGCTTAAGAATTCTACATATGGTGTAGCTATCACGTAGATCACAGATTGGTGGATGGATTGTATAAATTTTAGCATAATAGCAAACAAAAAATGAAAACTAAATGTTGATATATAGAATTTTTAAGTTCAATGTTTAGGCTACAATTACATTTACTGAAAATTATTTTGTAAGTCCACCATAATTTTAAACACATCATGCAATTTCTCTCCATACAGTATCTTATCAATCTGTGTTCACGTTTTCCTAATATTAAGTAAGATTTGTATTGTTTATATGAACACTTTTTATTAAAAAAAAATCACCATTTGGGTATTACGTGCACTACTATAAACACACTGTTTATTAGAACCATGGCAGTTACTACAATACTTTGTTTTGTGACACATACATATACTTTTAATATTCATCTAATTACAACAAATTAAATTATTTACATAGTGGTAATTTATAACTTATAGATTTTTTTATCAGCATTCTCAGTAAGCCAAATGGCTGTTGTAAAATTGTTTCCTTTCAAATACTGAATTGAAGAAAAGAAGTTATTTCTTAACTTTTAGCACATAAATACTTTAGTTTTCAACTACAAAAGCTAAAAAACTTTCAATTATAATTCCTACATCTGATAGATACATGAACTACCAAGCTAAGAGCAGGTCTAAATTTCTACTTTAAATATCCAAGCTACAGTTTATAAGAAAATATATTTCACCTTTCAAAAACCTTGCACAACTGTAGATGAAAAGCAAGATACTATCATTGCTGTCATGTAAATGATGATTCTATTTTTTGGAAGAGTGAAATTGCAGCAGATGCTTGTTGTAGTACAAGACCTTTGTTGATTGCCAAAATTTATGGTGCAAGCAAAGTATCAAGACCGTGTAAGAGATGAAAGAACTTTTTTTTTACTTCTAATGTCTTTGGAAAATAGTTTTGTTTAACTGATGGCAGGTTTGTTCATTATCTTATTATTTTTAGCATATTTTCTACTTTTATGATTAAAATAAACAATGCTTATGAATTTGAAATAAGGTTAAATAGTGGTAACATATACACTCAAAAAATTTAACTTAGATTACTGTATTTTGAAATGTTCAATCCATCAGAAAATAAATATTTGAAATATAATATACTCATATTTGCAATTAAGCATAATGTGTTGAAAACAAATATTATTTCTCAGGTGGAAAATTTAATCACTATTACCATGAATTTATTTTATATGACAGGTAATTACATTTATTTATGTGAATAACAGTCACCATGCCAACTTTAATAATATAACAAAGTACTTTCACAATACTGTTCACTACTGAAAAACCATTACTCTGTGGAATATTTCAAACTTACAGAATATAATATCAAAACAAAATGTTTAATTAAATAAATGAAAATATTTTATTGCATACACGAGTATTCCAATTTTAAAAACTTATATTTCAAACTAAAGGAAAATTACCAGTTAAAACTTTTCATATGAAGTTTTAGTGTTGAGTATAATATTATATACTGTTTCATGCTTGAAATTACATTAAAGACCAAAGCTTAAATATAATTCATAGACTGTGACTTACTTTACCAGAATGACTAGACTTAACATATGACCAGAGAAACATGATGAGAAAAAATTTTAAATCCCTGAATCAATGTAATATGGTGTTAAATAAAATGAACTACCATACATCAAACAGCTCAATACTGTAAACATATTAATACTGGAGTTTTCCTATTATATTTTTAAGAGATAAAAACACTAAACAGAAATAAAGTGGAATATTAAAAACAAAAATACAAATTAAAAAAGCTATGTTTCAGCTGAGCAGATGAAGCTAGCTGAATGTTGGTAAAACAATTTTCTTTTGATTATTATTTAGGTAGGCCAAGTTCCACCTTGTAAGTTCATCATGCATGATTTGATAATTAGGAAGATTTAAGTCAACCTGTTTTTTTTGGAAGAGTGAAATTGGACCAGATGCTTATTGTAGTACAAGGTCTTTGTGGATTGCCAAATCTGGATTACGAACAAAGCAATTAATGTCATCAATAGTATGATAAGAGTTCAAACTTGAAGAAACACCAATATTTTAACTCCCAGTCTTTATTAGCAAGTTGAATTGTCAAAGACTTGTAAGAATCCACGCAACAGCAGGACCAAAAGTTTATGGTGCAAGCAAGGTATCAAGACTGTGCAAGAGATGAAAGAACTTTGTCATTTCCTTCTAAACAGTTAAGCTGAAGAAGACTGAATTAATTGAAATCAATAGTAACCAGAAACAATAGTTGATTATTTTTGTGCTATTAATTAATTTTAAACACAATTTTTATCAATTGATTATTTTATATGACAAACTGATTCTCATAGGCAAGCAATTATATCAATCAAGTTAACTGACCAGATTTACTACTAACCAAACAAATTACAATAATTAATATTTAATTCATATTAATTTCTTCTATTGCTCTTTTATGTTTTTAATTTAGATTACAGCTATTTCAGAGTTCTAAGTATTTAACATAAAGTGTTGTGTGCTCCATCAATAATAAATTATATTTTTATAACTAAGTGCATTGTCATTAATAGGTTATTTTTTACCCAATTGATGTTTTAAAATTATTGATATTTTTTTATTTCGTGTTATGTCTGTATAAGAAGAGTTTAACTGGCCTGACCTCAGTATCTCCTCTAACACCCTTGATCTTGGTAAACAAGCTCATATAACAATCTTGCATATACATGAACATGTTAATTGTGTTTCCCAATTTGCATTTCACATGTTCAAATAATTTTCAACAAGACAGCTTCATATTATCAACAGCATTCTCCTTGTTATAAAGGAATAATGTTTTTGGAACACAAGACTGGGATTTCTTTGTGCATTAGTTACAGCCACTAGTCAGAATTAAAAATCATGATTTCCAATGGTATGTTGTTGTAAAAAGTGTATTATACCAGATCACAACTGATCTTGTATCTCCAGTGATAATATACTGTTGAATAAAACTACCAGTATATCATACACTAAACCAACATATTGCTCAGTGTGAGAAACCAAACACTATTTTTACAACAGTATTCATATATAAAGTACTTTGTGATTCATTTGTAGATCATGGTATTTAAGTAAGGCAATTTGCTCTTATTATGAAATGCAGTAATGACAATTTTGTCCCAATAAAAACTTTAATCTTCAATGTAATTAGGTCTACGTAGTTAAAAACTATCGCTTGGAACTTCATACTCTGGTACACACAGTGTGGCTAAAATATTTAAAATCTGCATATTGAAACCTCACAAAGTAACAAATATATATGTAATTTTAAAACTTTTAACATTGAAAAGAACATTTATATGTAGAAAATCTACATTTATAAGTATTTCTAGAATTTTACTACTTTTTAAACAACAACCACATTCAAATAATATATTGCTTTATTAAATTTATTCTATGCTTTTTATTAATTTAAGTACATTGTAAATTTTTTGGAATAACATTATCCACACACTGAAGACAAATATGCGTGTTTCATACTATCACATTATAAATAAATGTAATCAACACTGTTCCTCCATAGATCTCTGCCACAAGAAATGCCACACATGAATAAAAACCAGGCATTACGAACAGTGGCCAAATGTTTGATCTAGATGTATTACATGGGTGTAAAGAGGTTATGACTAGGAAGAACAACACAATAATAAAATCACATTACAAACCAACTGTTGTGTCAAAAGTAAAGGTTTAAACACATAATCCAACCTTGTGAGCTTAACAATATCCATAGGGACAAATGTATTGTCCAGAAAACAGTATGATGAGATATTATCATCAGCATACCACTAATATTGTAGTAATGCTATGTTGTCCCATTCTACAAAAAGGCAGGAACTGTCCATTAAAACCAAAACTCTATTAGGCTCAACACAGTTTTAAACACGACTTCAAAATTATTTAGATGTGTAATTTTCGGGTTTAAGGTTAAGCCAAAGTTCAGCACTGGATCCTATGTGCCACTTTGGCATGAGAGGAATTTTATCTTTTTTTTGAAAAGTTGTTATATGCAGAGATAACTTAGAAGCCATATATTTTTCTTAGTATCATAAAATCTAGCTTGATTTTTGGTAAGAACAAAACAAATATAAAAGTAACAGCTAATAACAAAACTCAATTAAATACAATTTAAAAAAGTTAATCTCAAAACAATGAAGGTTCAAAAGAAGACAATTACAACTTACTATAATGTGTCTGGTGGTCCAATGATGAGAACTTCCCACTTATAGATATCATTATCATCAATCAAACCAGCAGAGAATCCTTCCACTGGATTTTTGTTAAGCTCTAGAAAAAGAACAACTAGTATTGAAAATAAAATTTACTAATATTTTTTTTTATATTTGCAATTAAACATTAAATATCAAAATCAAATATTGGTTCTCATGTAAACATCTTTTAATGGGCAATGATGCATTTTTATTAATTTTTTTTATATGACAGGCTATTAGATTTGCTTGTTCACCTACACAACACCTTAAACACACACACACAATAAACTAAATGGCCAGATCAGATAACTTAAACACTGTCTAATTTTTAACTGTGGACTAGATGGGGTGCTTTTAGCACCTTTAACCCTTTCATAATGGACTTGTGTAATTTACATGACCGTATACCACCATTTAAGTAACTTGTAACCATGAAGGTATAAGAACTATACCTCTAAAAGTACTTAATGAATGTTCACAGAATTTGGCAAGCTTTCGGTAAGGATTAGAAGTATTTTGTAGATTAAAAGGAAAAAAAAAAATCAGAATTTTAAATTAAGTATTTTTACTAAAAATTTGTCCATGAATATATGGAGTCAGAGTGTTGACTGCTTTGAGTGCAAATTAATTTATGTTAAGATTAAAAATACTTTTCTTCATCTGAAAATTGTCAAATTTCATTTGCTTAATCTCTAAAACTTCATAAATAAATATCAAACTTGTATCTACCTATACTTAATTTTGTTTTATTGCCCTTTGATCCATGACTAACTAATAATCATTGTCACACAAGTTGTAAACAACTCAGCATAAATGCAGCTCACGTTACTGTACTGAATTACATAATACACGAGCTGGTCCCAAGCATACCTTGTGAAGAATTAGTTATTTTTCATTATCTTACCTAATCTAATCTTATCTATTCCAATAAGTTTCTAATTTTTAATTTTAATTACACTTGTAGTAATAAAAAAAAAAAGACTACAAATGAAAAACAGGAATTATAGTACTTACCTGGGTCTTTTTTGTTGTTGTTGTGACTCTCAATGAAACTTAAGCCTACTGTTTTTATACTAATGGTACTACTACACTTAATTTGTTATTTAATTAAAATTAAATACTGCAACCAAGAACAGAATAATAATATGAAAAAATGCAAATAATGTCCAATAACTATCATACTAATTCTTCTGGCTTTCTAACTATGCAATAAGAGCCTTTAAAAATTTAGCTTACCTTGTCAATGTGATTCCTGTGAGAATAAATTGGAAACTGAATCACAAAATAAACAATGCCCTATACAGAAAACAATCTAACCTATATAAAAGCCAGCATGGGTCATGTCAGGTCTCATCACACTTGATTTCTCAAAATAGGAGGAGTTATAAAAGCCAATATGGATTTATCCAGATAGAATAGTTGATTACTATCTGCCCATTGAAGTTTTAGTGACAGGGCTGCAAAGGGGTCATGAGAGAGGGGTGCCATGAAACCTTATAAATGTATTGGGTGTTGGAATAATAAGCCTAAAGTAAAGAGTAGTGTGGAATCACCTAGCCTAGAGCCAAGTGCATACAATTTATCATGAAAGTAAAAATACCAATTCAAGTTTAAACTTAAATCCTTTCTGAATTAAGCAATTTTCTGTTATATCACCAACATTTTAAATAAAAAACAAACTTGTTTATTCAATGGAGACTAAAAAACATTTTTCCAGTTTTGTCTATACATTTCATTTTATACTTTCAGTACACAGACTAACAACAATATTACATTATACTTTTGTTGCTAAGCAACATGACATAAAAGCCATTGTTGGAATATAGTGTTACCAAACCCACTGGCTTTTCTATATATTAGAAGCTGTTAATCTACCTGATCTTTATCAACAATTATTCTATGAATATGCCACAAATTAATTTCATGAGTGATCTTAATTTTGATCCGTTCACAAAGGAACATACCAATGTTTGATTGCCTTAACTGTACTCTTCTGCATCTCAATTGGTCAAGCTTAATTTCTCAAATTTATTTATTTCAGTTAACTATGAAATGTGAGGTTAGGGTATAATATGGGGTGTATGTGGTAGTACTTGCTCCCTTCATTTTTGATTGGCTATATGCTAGAGTAATATAATACATCATTTGACATATTAAAACTTTGGTTATAAATAATATAGCATAAATAGTCAGAGAGAACTACTGGCAATTTATGAGAGAGAGAACTATGACAGGTGGGCATGGCTAGTGAGTCTGATTTTCTTGTTTATGACTCCACAAACAAATAAGATTGAAGGCTATATAAATTATGCTTTACACGATTAATATCCATATTATGATGAGTAATTTATGTTAAATTCCATACTCCTCAGAGGGGTGGTACATATTAAAACTAGAGAAGAAGAAATGCCTAGAGAACAAATGTCAAGTCTCATACAAGGGAAAATTGAGAATTTTTAATATTTCTTTATAAAATTAAGAACTTAAAATTCATATAATACTAAAATTTGATTTATTAATTATGTTTTGATTCCAAATTTATTATTCACATACATTGATGATAAAGTACTTTAATTAAATTTTGAATGTAACTCTGTAAAAGTTTGTGACACGCACACTTTGACCTACCTGAGGTGAAAGGATTAATCATGTGGCTTTATTTTCATGCAATTAATTGCCATTGATGAAACCTGTAAGAAGTTGACTACGGACAGCTGTGTACAAACTGTATACTGTTTAGTTTGTTATGGTACAAAGTCTGAAGGAAAGTACTTGTTCTTGTTTTGCATATGGGGTGGGGGGGGGGGCAAATCTCATGTATACAGGACCCAGGAATTTGGATTAACAAGAACCCTGCTACGCAAGCATTAACACAAAATACATAACACACTATAGTAACAACAACTTCTGGGAAACTCAAGAGGTTCACTATTGTTTACTGTTCCTGTGTGTTAAATGTGTTTGCTGATCTGATGTATGCATGTTTGTAAGTGTGTGTGTGTGTGACAAAAGGATGGGAATGTGTTTTATAGTGGATATGTTGGCCATGTTTCTGTGTGTTTGAATGTGACATGTTGCAGAGGGTGTTTTGTTGAAGTTAATGAAAAGAAGAATTAAATTATAATTCTTTACTGCTTGTGCCATGAAGGTTCAGCACTTATACCTCCCATTTGGTAAATTACACTATGAAATAATGCAATAAAAACTTTCCTCACATCAGTTTCTGAAGTAAATGCTCTACATAAATAGTTTGACCAGTAAATATAAATTACACGTACTGTCTTTACAATAAATGAACAAAAAAAAATATACTTTACTGATTATATGATAGCTACATATATTCCAGCTTGTCAAATTTCATATATTCCACAAGACTGATAGAAGCCAAAGTGGATACAGTATACAGTTCTGTGTCAAATTCAAAGTAATCAAAAGTTAACATTTTCTTACACTAAATATGTATTTCTGATAGTATTTACCACTCTCATCCAAAGCTATCTCAATCCTGGTTTGCCCTCTAAGCATTGCTAAAAATTTTTTGCCAAAAGCACACCATTCTTTTGTACCCCCTTCATTTCTGTACCATTTCAGAACGTATGCTGATCATGTGACTACCCTTCACCAATCATACTGCACCATCTATACTAGCACAACTACCTCCTTCTACTATTCTAGCACAATCCTCACTTTAGACAATTGGCAGGTACAAACCAGAAACACTTGCCATATCAGTGGGGAGGAATGGGGGGAAGTGGGTGAGCGGAGATAAGTACCTATTGGAAATACAATTTTCAGTGAAAGAAAATGTTAACTTCTGAAACGGTACAATTTCCTCTCACCCAAAGCTAGAATCCCACACTGCACAGGTGGAGGGGGCTGGTGAAAGCACAACAGTATTCAATCAAGAGGAGATAAACTGCCTTAGAAGAACAGGTGTGCCATAATAAGAAAAGAAGGCACACCTGTAGGGTATATCACTACTTCTGGAACAAACACAGTAATACATATACAGCAGAATGTAATAGGCAGGCACCATACCTTAAAAAAATAAGAGGTACAGCACCATTCTGTGAAGAAGTGCTGTACAACTAGGACATGAAATAGCACAGCAAGGATAAAAATGGAATGTCTAATGTGCAATTGACAACAGGCCCAAATAAATATGTGCCAAAGGTAGTCTTGTGTCAACTGCTGTCCAACCAGGCAAAACATCCAATAGAAATGCCTTGTCTAGGATATTGTGAGCAACAAGAGTGATCCCCTTATAAAATAAACATCCAAGGGAAGTGCCTTAAATAAGTAGTTTGATGAAAAATTGTTAGGTAACACAGAATCAGCCCGTTGTCAACAGATAGTACATAATTTGTTCACATATGCAGCAAGAATTAGCATGGGACATAGCCATATATACTTATATCCCATTGTCAGGTAATTTACTATGACTAGCTATCACTAAGGTTAAAGAACAGTAAATTATAAATGAATAAGGCAAGTGCTGTCCACCTTGGCAAAAACATTTGGTGGAAGTGCCTTGCATAACATACAGTGATCAACAAGTGTGGTCCACCTGGACAAAACCCAGTGGGAAGCACCTTGGATACATAGGATTAGGCCAAGTGCGGTCTGCCCAGGCAAAAACATCCAGGGGAAGTACCTTGGGATATAATTGAGTATGTAAAGTGTAGTCCATCTGAGAAGAAAACATCCTTTGAAAGAGTCTTGCATAAGACATTTATTTAGTGATTAACAAATGAGGTCAGCCAAGGCAAAAAAAAAAGGGGGGGGGGGGACATAGGACCCAGAACATTATGTTAGAGCATAATCAAAAAGTATAAAAATGATAGCCCTCTTCTCACTAAGTGGGATCATATGAGCTATGAAGTTTGATTTAGTTTATTGTACAAGCCCCACTCAGGTGGAAACCTCCATGGTCCAATGCACCAGTGAATGGGAACCAGAAGTAGCAAGGAATCCCGCAACGTTCCACTTGAAGAAGGGGGGGATACACACTGGGAAGTCCAGAGGAACGACACACAAGAGATAGGAGGTACAGCTTCAAAATTATTATATCAATTA